TTCACTATACTTTCTTCATTTATATTTATCTCTATTCCATCAATTTGATCACTCTCTAGGACAAAATCTAAAAGTGTCTTTTTTTTTGAATTGGAGGCTTTATTTGCAACCACCTATTTATCCATCTTTAAGGTTCTTTTATCAAAACCCAAAAATGCTTGTATCCAAAATCTATTTTTTTGTTATTTTTTTGCTTATACAACTCATGTACATGCTTCAAAGTATCAATTGTATTTGTGCCACTCTTACACAACTTTTATACTTGCGCATAGATACCAATCGACTTACTTATGTCATATTTTATGTGGTCTCATTTTGTCTCCAACAAACATTGTAGTCTTACATCCATATGCATATTCTGATTGTAGTAAGTTGAAATGCACTTCTAGAATAGTCCAACTTTCTATTGATTGCTAATAATCTTATCCTATAATACATACAATAAACTCCTATACAATTGTTCTTCTTATTCACGATAATAGACCTTGTCTTTTATTCCAAAATACATTGGGCTTTCTTCTTCTACAACTCTCAAAGCTAGTGTCCTTCTTATCATGATAAAGTTGATAAAAAAAATTTAAAGCTCTGATCAAAATTAACAAAAATAATTAAAAATCTGGTCAAAATCTTATCACATTATTCTTACACAATTGTGAGTGTAAAATTCACTCTTCAACTCAATTACAAGATGGCCTCAATTAAGAATTGCTTGTAATTGGTGGTGTGAAGTAGAAGTAGTAAGAATAAGAACAAAAGAAGCAAAATGCAAAAACAAGTGACACAAGTGCAATCAAGCAATTATACATTATTAAACTAGTCACAATCTATTCATTAAATTTTTCATCTGATAAAAAGTAAAAAGTAAAAGTAAAAAATATATTTTTAAAGATACTATTTTTTTAATCTTTTCAATGGTATAAGAAACATGTAAATCTAAGTTACTATGAAGAAGTTATGAAGATTTAAAAATAATAAGTAAGTAAATAAAAAAATTAAGTAAATAATTTTTACCTCAAGAATAATTTGCTTAAGAGATTAAGAGCTTGAGCCTCACCAAGGGTCACAAATAGTGTATATGGATGCCAAGAGAGGCCACAAGGCTTTTGTCTTATCCTCCTAACTACCTTCAAGGTGCTACAACTCATATTGGACTTGTGCACCTCTTTTCTTACAAGGACTACAATAGCTACTAGTTCTCCTATTTTCTACTAGTAAAATCAATAATTTTGTATTTTTGACTTCACCATAGTGTTTAAAAATACCCAATTAGCTAAGGAACCTATTGCGGTCTTCAAATCTTACTCCATTTCTTCATAATGGCTTTCGAAGTGATAAAATTCATTTTTACCAAAGTCTTAAAAATTGCTCTAAATATTCCTAAAAAATTCTAAATAAATTTTTAAAAAATTATTAAAAAAATTATAATATTTCTATAATATTAAAATAAATTTGAAGCTATATTTTTTACTTTGATGATTATTTATATTAATGAAATTAATTTAAATCTATTATTAATCCTACTTTTTATATAACTAACTAAAAAGATATGAGGTTCTTTCTCATACTTCTTCTAACTACTACTAAAATTTATAGTTTTTTTATAAATAATATATGTAGATAGAAGGCAAACATAAATACTGGCCTTAATAAATATTTTTTAATATTCAATAATAACTAAAAAATACTAAAGCAACTAAGATAATTGCGTTCAAGACTTATTATGACTCCAATTCTACAACTAACATTCTAATTTCCTATTTGTCTAAAGATTTCTATACTATTCATCATATATTATGGTTCTAAGTACTCGTAATGCATCTTTTTATCTTAAAACAATTAGTGAGTCAATTTGATGATTCACAACAATATTCACAAAAGTTGTATGTATTGATGTCAATGACCAAAACTTGATGTGAAAAATGGCTAATATTTAAATTTTTTATGTTTGTTTGAAAATTATTTTAAAAATGAAACAAGAGAAGAAAGGGAAGAGAAAGAGGAAGGAAGGAATCTTTTTAGCAGAGAAGGCTTAGAATGGAGCCTTAAAGAATTTGCATAGAAGTGGATACATGGCATTGGATCAAGTATTTATCAATGATCCTACTATCAAGGTAGAGAGAGTTTGCCTCAAGAAAGTGTTGGACTTCTGCCTACCACTAAATGCTCAATCAAGTCTAAACCTATTAAAGCCTCGGACAGCCTCTTTGAAGTCCATTGGACATGACATTTGACCAATAAGAATGAAGATCTTCACTCCTTGTCTTCATCCAACCATACCTTCTTTTCATTCTTCTCAATAAGCCTCATGATAGTTTAGACTTTTAGCTTTAGATCCCAATCTTTTCTTAAGCTTTATACTAAACATCTAAATCCTACATAATATAAACACTATAATCAAAATAGATAAATTTCCAAATAAATTTTCTTATATCAACTCTCTTTAAATTTACTTACTAGCCACTCTAATCCACATCAAGATTTATAAATATAAATAATTTTTTAATTAATTTTTACATACTATAAACAACTACAGTATGACACCGCTAGGTGGTTTGAAGTTGCCAAGCTCAGCACCACATAGTTGCCCTCACACAAGCTCTTTGAGAATCCACTTCCAACTCTACCATTTTTCAAGATACTCATTGGCACCAAAAAATGGAAATAATGCTTAAGCCATTCTAACACGTATGCCATGCTGCCATGCCATCCACAAGGATGGTACAAGCATTGGCACCAATTAGTAGCAATCCTCTTAATACCAACTGCTCAAAGTCTAAATTTAATATGTATATAAACAAATAAATAAAAAAAACATAACTAATCAATAAAATGAAATTACAATTAATGAACTTAACTTATTAAAGTCATTTTAACTTGCATTCAATGCCTACTACATTAAGCCAACTTAAACTAAAGTAAACTTATCTCAACTTATGGAGCCAAAGGCTTAATTAAATTATTAAAAATAGTACCAAAATTAGCATCTTAGATGTTGTCAAATTCCAAATCTTCTACTCCTTTGACATAAAGATACTTTGGTACACATGTCACCATAGCAACTAATAAAGGTGCACTATAAAGTTAGCCACGTAATCCAAAATTAACCGCATAATCCAATGTTTTTGCTTCGACTGCATTCACTTAGTCAACTCAAACTATAAATCCATACATAATAAACTTTTGAATTAAAACTCAAATTGCTAGAAAATTCATAATTAGCACCTCATACTCATTATATCCACAACATTAATATCCAACAACAAGAAAGAAAGAAAGAAAGAAAGAAAGAAGGCAAAAAAAAAAAAAAAAAAAAAAAAAAAAAGTAAGAACATGGCCGTACAACTTGATATACATAAGCATTGATAAGAGACACAAGGTGAAGGTACGAAGTTACATCTTCAAGAGTCACCATACTGGCCTCGGCCATTTGACTTTCATGACCTTGTTGGTCTAAGCCAGTGTGACCCAAGGCATCACATTCCAGGATGAAGTTGAGATTATCAACTGATGGTACATTGTCTATAATTGCGACAAGGTGTTTGCTATCTTTAAGCAGAGCATTCAGGTAACGGTGAAGCTCTCCTCTCGTCACTCCAAATCCATGCAATCTTCTTGTTGGACACTGCCTTCATCCTTCATCCATCACTTACACCATCGGCGAAGAGAACGTCAAGCGTTCCCATAGAACTAGGTTCTCATTAGCGTACATTAACAGTCGATGATCTAGACACATGGAACTAGTTGTTCCCTACTATTGTAGTATGTCGAGATTCAATATGGTATTAGAGCCGCTCAAATGAGCTTAGGGTTAGGTAGCAAAAAGTATACTTGCTCACCTAGACAAGAAGAACATGTCCTCTCCCGATTCTGAATAGGAGCAAGATGGCTCAAACAGATAGTGCATCACCATTATCTCACAATGTGTCACATGTTGGCAACCAAACCACGTTTCTCGAATCTTACCACCTCACGGGTCGAAAATTATGGGATCTGGGCCTTTAGAATGAAGAATGTATTACTTCGAGACAACCTCTATGATTATTTTATCACCACACCAAGCAGCCCTATATTGGAGCAAGAATGCATCAAGAGACGCCAAGCTATGAGAGCCATCAATGGAAGCGTGAAGGGAAGAGTAGCGATCAAGCTGCTCAAACGATACAAAGATCCACACGATTGCTAGACATCACTAAAAGCACGATACAAATCAGACAATCACTCTCGCAAGATACTGATTATTGATAAGTTTTTTAGCATTCGCAAAACTGGTAGTATGGACGAATACCTAGCAGATATGAAGGAAGCCGCCGATGAAATGGAGGAACTTGATATTGGTCTCCTAGAACCAGTAGTGGTATACTACACCACAGAGAATCTGCCCAAGGACTACGAGATCATTAAACAGATGATCTTAAACAAGAAGAAACTGCCCACATACCTCGAATTGGAAGCCAGACTGCTCAACAAAGCAAACACACGGAAGGTAAGAGCAGATTCAAAAAATGAGGGTGAGGCTCTACTTACCTCCAGAAACAAACTTCAAGAGGCCACTACACAACCAAGGTGGAAGATTTCATCACAACAACAAAACCCGGCTACGGAAAAAACGGAGGATACGGGAACCAGCGTGGATTTTCAAGCTTCACCACGGGAAGACAATACCCATCAAGTTCTTACTCTAACCTTGGAGGTCTATCTTTGAGCTCGAGAGGATGAAGCTCAGGAGGATTCTACGTAGGATCAATACGACAATACCCTACTCATTGCACCAACTATCGCAATGAAAGACACAACATAGACAGGAGAACATTTGAAATGAGATCAAAACCTGACTCACTTGAAGGAGAACTTCAATCCATCATCAACAAAGTTTGTGATCTTGAATCGAAGTTACATAAAGAAGATCGAGAAAGAAGACGGAAGGGTCCATGCAGTAGCCAAATTCACAGCCTTGAAACAGATTCTGCAGAAAGTGACGTAGTTGACTCATGCATAGGAGATGACGGCCAAGGAGATGAGGATACCACTGTTTCACATGTAATAGATGCATATCTAGCTGAGATCAACCAAGTACAATCTCATACTTCTTCATCAACACCGTGGGATTTAAATTCAGGTGCTTCGAATTACATTTCTGGAGCTGCAGCGGTATTCTCTTCATTGAAACCTAGTACTGGAAGTCATGTCACATTTGCTGTTGGTCATAGCCACAATGTAATGAACGTAGGCAATGTTGCTATTCGTTTGCCTTCTGGAGAAATTCAAACAATATCTCATGTTCTTTACTCGCCAAGTATTACGAAAAACCTGCACTCTGTTGGCTTCTTCACAGACAGAAATTATAGATTAGAATTCATGAAAAATGAGTGCCAAATAAAGTATCTAGACAAAGTAGCCGTTGTGGCTACCTAGGACTCAAGAAATGGCCTCTACAGACTGAATGGAGAGACCATTCAAAACTGCACGGAGATTGTAGCATGTTCTGTGGAACAAAAATCAACCCGCATGTCATCCGCAGCCGCGATGTGGCACAAACGACTGGGTCACTATCACTACCACGGGATGAGATGAATAATGGCTGCAGGAGCACTGATAGGACTGCCGAAACTGCCCATAAACATCATTTTGTGTCATAGTTGCTTCCAGGGAAAGAACAGTCGCACAAAAGTACAGAAAACGAGAACTACTAAAAACTCAAAAATTCTAGAACTTATCCACTCGGATATAGCCGGACCTTTTCAAGTCATGTCCATGGGAGGAGCTCGCTATTTCCAGCTCTTTGTGGATGACTTTTTGAATGGAACATGGGTGCACTTCCTCACTCACAAGAGTGAGTGCTTCTCAAAGTTTCAGTCGTTTCATCGGAAATAGAGAGAACTACGTCACAAAAAATTCTTACACTGGGGACGGACAACAGCGATTAATTTACATCGCGAGCATTCAACACATACTATGAACAACAGGGTATTAAACGACAATTTAGTCAAGTCTTTACTCCTCACCAAAACGATGTAGTTGAACGCCAAAACAGAACCATACTCGATATCACAAGATGCTTTCTTAATGATTGTGAACTACCAGGACCACTCTGGGCCGAAGTAGTCCGGGTAGCCTGCATTGTCATGAACCTGCGATCTAGTAAATCGCAGTTAGATAAAACACCACTAGAGCTATTCAATGGCACTAAACCCGATATGACACACTGCAAGCATTCGACACACCCGCCTACGTGACCTACACCAAACAAGGCCGATGCAAGCTCTTCCCTAGATCCCGACTCTGCATACTTCTCAGTCCAGATAATTACACAAAGGCGTATTGGTGTTATGATCCCGCAGTGAATCTTGTTCTGGTATCTAAAGATATCAAGCCACTTCCCAATATCGAAATGCTGCAACTTCACCAACTCAGAAAAATCAGGGCACTCATCCCCGAAAAGACCGTTATAGGGCCATCCCTCAACGCGGATCACGCCGATACATCACATTCAGATCCTCAACTGGCACCCAAACCACCATCTCCAGTCACGTCATCAAGGCCGACACAGTTCCCCTCACCACATCCGGACTGTCAAGTATCCACTTCACGTGATCGAACTACTCAAGACAGTGCCGATGTTATGTTCCAACCATCTCAGTCCAATAACTCACAAAACTCAATGCCTCTTCTGCGACGGTCTACACGACTTCGTCACACACCTAAATCACACCATGATTTCATTCCAACTGAACTCAAAGACGTCTTCATCGGGAGCATTGATAAAAGCGAAGAAACTCTCACCTTCGAACAAGCTCAACTTGATCCGCGCTAGAGAGATGCCATGGCCTTGGAATACCAGTCCATCCTGGAAAATCATACCTGGGATCTTGTCGAAACTCAGCCCCATGTACAACCCATCTCGGCCTGATGGATATACAAAATAAAACCAGGAGTTAATAGAGGCCCCGAACAATATAAGGACAAAATAGTATCCCGCGGCTTCCAGCAACAACACGATGTGAATTTTCAGGAAACATTCGCACCTACTGTACGATGGGAATCCATCTGTCTCATCACTGGACTAGCAGCACATCACGGGTGGCCTATATATCACCTCGACGTCATCACGGCCTTCTTCAACGGCTTCCTTCAAGAGGATGTCTTCATGTACTAGCCACCAGGTTGGATCAAGCCAGGAACGGAGCACTTAGTGTGCAAACTAAAACGATTGCTATATGGTCTCAAACAAAGCCCCCATATGTGTTACAGTTGGCTAGATAGCAATCTACAGCATCGAGGAATGATCAAGACCAAAGCCGACCCTAATGTATACTACTCTAGGGCCGGCAATTCCGTCACCATCCTCTTATTCCACGTTGAGGAACTTTTCACCATAGGATCACACCCCACCCACATTTCCACCATCAAATCTGATCTAGGCCGACAATACAAAATGACTGACATGGATATTATGCAAAAGTTCCTCTGCGTTGAAGTCCTACAATCAAATTGCGGCATCCTACTTCACCAAACCGCGTACGTAAAATCCATCCTAGCTGAATACGCGAGCCCTACCTCGGTTCACATCCCCATCCACGACGCCGTTCGCCTCAGCAAGGACACCAAGTCTCCACCCACACACGAAATCGCATATAAAGCCCTTGTCGGAAAGCTGCATTATGTGACAAAAACCCGACCCGATCTTGGATTTTCCGCCTCATTAATCAGCCGATACATGCATGGTCCCCAACAGCTCCACCACTATGTTGCGCTATGCATCATCAAGTATCTTCGCAAACATCCGTCGCTCGGCATTTGGTTTTCAAAGGGAGAGGAAAACCAGCTCTACGGATTCTCAGATGCGGACTATGCAGGCAACCCACATGACAGAACATCCACAGATACGTATCTATTCTATTTTGGAAAAACTTCCATATTATGGAGCTCAATCACCTGCAAGATCATCATGTGAATCAGAATATAGAGCCCTAGCAAAATGCATGTGTGAAGCCATATGGCTCAGAAGACTAATCAATAAATTAGGATTTGGTATCAACCAACCCACTTACATAGGCTGTGACAATCAGAGTAACATCAAGATAGCAAAAGATCCAATGTTCCATGATAAAACCAAACATTTCGAAGTAGATTGGCACTTCACTAGACAGATGATAGAAGATAGAATAATCAAAGTAGAATTTGTCCCAACTTCAGAACAACCCGCTGACATACTAAACCAAAGCCCTAGGTAGAACAAAATTTGAAAACTACAGGAAAAAACTCAACCTAAAAACTGTAAAGGAAATTCAACAATTCAAATTGATTGAATCAACTGACTAGCAGGTACATCTCTGCATCATACAACGTCCTGAAAACCCTAAACTCAAAATTACTATAGCCACTCACTGCTAACCTACACTCCTCCCAACTAGAGTAAATCCTTGGACTTGAATCCCTTCCGAACAGCGTAGTATTTCTTCAGTGGCACAGGAGAACCAGTTTCGACCCGATTAGTAGACATCGTCAAAGAACAAGCTGCCTTCAGAGGAGGTGGTCTGTTAGAAACATAGGGCTCAATCTGTTGGTTCGCAACATGCTCTCTAAAAAGAAGACTCTCAAGGAAGCTGAGTAGCCCTTCAACAATTCGGTACAGCAACAAGAGAAGAACCCAGAGCAACACCAACAAAATTCGAAACTGCACCAACGATAGAATTGACTGTTTGTCCAGAAAATAAAGACATGGTTAGATTAGAAAAAACACTGAAACTTGAAGAAAATTCACAAGAGAAAAATCACACATCTGTCAAAAGCAATCCATGATTGTGAGCCAAGTTCTAAAGTTAGAGAGGTAGAATGGAAGAACTCCCAATTGTGAAATTGTTAAATTAATTTAAATGCAAGTGTTTGTAGTTCAATTAAAATTAATGCCATCCAAGCAACGGTTACCAATATTAAATTAAAATATAATATAAAATTCACTATGCTAAAATGATAAAAATAATAATAATAATAATTAAGTTATTACTATTAATTCACAATAAGAATAAAAACTCAAATTTAAGTTAAAATTAAAAGTTAAAATTAAAAATTAAATTCAAAAGTTAAAGTTAAAATTAAATTTAAAAATTAAAGTTGAAAATTAATAGTTAAAAGTTAAATTTAAAAGTTAAAGTTGAAAATTAAATTCAAAAGTTAAGTTAAAATTTAAAGCTAAAAGTTAAAATTTAAAAGTTTAAGTTAAAAATTAAATTTAGAAGTTTAAGTTAAAAATTAAAAATTAAAATTAAAAGTTAAAGTGAAAATACTAAAGGTTAAAACTTAAAATTTATTATTCAAAAGTTGAAATGTGGAGATTACGAGTCACAATGAATATAAAAGTAAAAATAAAATAAGAGAGGTAAAAGCAAAGATACCTTGACAACGTCCAATGATTGAAGGTAGCATCCCCCTTCTACTCCAAAAATTGCCAAGAATTGTAATTAGCTCGAAATTAGATGATTCTTAGTTTGTTGCAAGATTAACTTATAGATGCTTTTGCTCCAATAAATCTTGTTGCAATCTAGTGATTCAGTCTTGACAATTGTTCTTTTGAAGTTGAATGATCGAAACAGTTGCGGCAACCACCTCCTTTTACTTAGAAATTTGCTAAAAATCCAAATCGTCTTCAAATCCAACAAAACTTATGCCTTTCAAAGCTTAGCTTATAAAGCTCAATGCTCCCAAAATTCCAATTGAATCCAATTATAAAGCACTAAGAAATGCCTTCCCAAACTACAAAGGCAATTGACTCCCTTGCGATCAAAATTTCACCAAAAATTCAATTCAATTCCAAATTGAGCGAACCTTACCTTGTTGGAAAGCCAACAACAAAAGCTACAATTATAAGGAATTTCACATTGAAACAAAAAAAAAATTGAATGACTGATTGGAAAAAATCCAAGGTTCTTGAAACCTTTGGAGTACTTAGGAGGCCAAGGGAGCTATTTATCACAATGAAGCATGTTTTAAAACCCAATAATTTTAATTCACAACTAAAAATCCATGCACATCCACCTACAAGTTCACAATGAGATTTAACAATCTAAATGAAATCAAGATTAGAATTTTTGGCCAAATTTTGGCATGGCTTTGCTCTTTTCCAAAAAAGGAGAGAGAGAGGGCTTGGAAAACCAAACCTTTCTTATACAATTGAGTGGAGGCTCATAGAAGGGTGGCTATATCTCCATCTTTGGTTTCTAAGATCCCTAATCTAAATCTACAACCTTCATTCATCCAAGAGTCAATCTCATTACTAAGGCTCATGGCTCTTATAAGTAGTCAAGAAAGCATTTTTTTGATAAATCTAATTTCACCATTGTATTCAAAACATCTTTTTAAGCTAAAATCGACTACTCACAATCCTCAATCCATGCTCAATTATAATTTTCATAGAAGTTTTTATTTACAAGGATCTTAGCAATTTTTTTGTAAAATTCTTTAAAATGAGAATTTCATTACTTCATTTGTATTTTAAAGGAGAAGGTGATGATCTTGTTTTTTTCACTCTACAAGGTAAATCTGATTCTACCATTGCATTAAAAAGACTCTCATTAATTAGAAGAACTACCATGTTACTTGAATTTGTCAAATTTGGAGAAAAACTCAAAACTATCATTACTAAACTTCACTAAATCTTTTAGAAAATTATAATTCTAATTCTTTCTAAATCATGTGAAATGATTATAAATGCACTCATAAGCTTTTAGTCAACCTTCTTAGTAATAATTAACAACTTTAAAATTATTAAAACTAACTAAGTTACTATTTTAATTTTCTAACTCTTATCACCTTAGTTCTAATTAACCTAATTCAAGAAATTAGGCTATAATTTATACCATCAAAAGTTGTAATCCTAAATATTCTATAAAACTAAATTCCACTTATATAAATCCTAATCTAACATGTTCAATTATCATAAAATAAAAAAATAACAAAAATTTAAATTTTAGAGCATAATTAAAAGCTCACAATGATTCGGAGAGGTTTCAATCTGCATAACTATAGGCACAAGAGGGGGTGTTGGATACTACCTTCATCCATCACTTACAACTAATCACCATCATCCACAAGTACTTACAACTAATCACCATCATCCACAAGTACTTACAACTAATCACCATCATCCACAAGTACTTACAACTGATCACCTTCATCGACAAAAAGAAGGTCAAGTGTTTCCATAGAAGTAGATTCTCAGTAGCATACATTAACATTCAATGATCTAAACACATTGAACTAGTTGTTCCCTACTATTGTACTATATCAAAATTCAATACTTCTAACTTGCAACACAGAGGAGACTTCTTATACACTTTAAAAGGAATTCCAAGAGCCCATATACAAGAGCCCATATGCACAAGTCACTGCCGGTATGCACACTTTTGTTTGTACAATCAAGTAAATTGAAAAGCTAACGTCACCTTCGCCTGTCTTCAGTGACATCAAAATGTAAGAAGAGATGATTCGAAGATATGAGTAAAACCAACCTCTTGAAGGCCAACTTTGACTGCATCTTCCCAATGACTAGGCTCTGCGGTTTAAGAGTAGAAACGGTACACCCTTCTCTGCCTGAGTCGCTGTGGTCGAGTTCAACTCCATTGAATGGCGGAGTGGCACTCTGTATCAAACAGCTATCAGCACCAACAGACGTGGCTTCTTTGAAAGCGCATTGGAAGTTAGGATGTATAACCTCCACCCAAAACCACAGTTTCTCAAAAATATTAAAGTCATCAATAACTCCTATAATTAAACTCAAATTTTATTTTTTATTTAATCAATATAGAATAAAATCGATACACTTCAGATGAGCATCAGTGCATGAAAAAGCTCTCCTACACCAATAACGCAGTGGACACACACCTTGTAGCGTGTGTTGGTGCAAAACTGAAGCGTTGATAGAAAAATCCGCCTCATTAGAACATCCCTCAAATCAGAAGATGTCTGAACTTTCTGTACAGGAGTCTGCACAACAGGCCAGAATAACTTGACCTGTGATACAATGGTTGCTAAATAAGAAAATTTTACAATAACTTTTTACAAAGGCACGTCCAAACTGCAAAAAGAAAACATCAGCTGCTCTCATTGCCATACTCTTAAGAGATATCTTGCAACACGCAGTGCACTCATGTTAAAGAGAAGCAGACCATAATAGTCAAGTTAACATTAAAAAACTTAGAAAATCTTAAATTTTAAAAGAAATTAAAAGATTAGCAAAAAAGGGTTCGATTCCAGAAGCAAAAATTACCTTGCAAAATAAACTGATGGAAATGTTTTGAAGAAGCCCATGTTGGAAAATAACAGGTTTCTTCAGTTGTTTTTCAGTACTTGGCAAGGACCATGTGTGTTGTAACGGGGGTCTAACATGATGTCTTTCCTTCAACGTGGCAACTACTATAGAAGTTAGGTTGATGTTCTCTAAGGAAGTATGCGTAGATGTGATCACCCCCGCTGGTGTTGCAGCAAATTGTGCCTAACCAACTCCAAAACTCCATCAATATTCACAAATAAAAAGTGAACCCCAAGCTTTGCCTTCAATTAGAAACGATCTCCAAATTTGGTTCAAAAACTAATGATATTTACATCAAAAGAAACATAGATACTTTAGCATACCTCAATCATCTCTACAGTACGGATGACACTGCCGATGTCACCAACTATGAAAAGAGTGGCATTCGCTAAGAAATACCAATGTACGTGAAAAGCCTTAATTGTTTCAGGGTCCCACTTTTTTATTTGCTCCTCCAGACCTATTGGGAAGCGATATCCTGACATATTCTCTGAGTGCAGATGCTGCAGAAGCTGCGTCTGTGCATTAACAGCTCATAGCAGTTAGACAAGAAAGTGGTTGGTCGAGAACATCAAGATATGTGCACAATATGTATCAAAATGAAACTTAAACGCATCCTTTTCAACACGCTTGCACCACCCAAAAATAAACATGAACGTACCTCTTAAGCAGAAGTAAAGAAAGAATTCACACCTGACAATCGACCCTGTATTCAATGGTATTCATCATCTGTAGCTCCGAAAGATCCGCCTTTCTCTCTTTCTCTATCCGAGATGCCAAGAATTTAGGCTTACATGCTATCTGATATCACCCGCAAAACAGATTCCTGGTTAATAACCCCTCAGACGTCCGCAAACTCACAAAAAAGGTAAGTCAAAATGCTGACCAAAACGAGCTATTCACTCACGTCTGACGCTACGTCCTGGAAGAAATTTCATCAAGCATATGAAGGAACCCATTAGAAAGAAATTTCGATTGTCTCAAATTCACTCTTGTACATGCCAGTCTCACCTGACCTTAAAGTCTCAAGAGGCATACCTCATGAAGTGCTTCCAAAACAAGAGGAAGAAAAGAGCTCTTGCGAACCCTGAGCAGTAACTGGCGAATGAACAGGAAAGACTGTATGGTGAAAATCCGTGTAGGCATTCGACCGAGAACCTGTCCCTAGAAGCCTTTCACAGCGTTCAATGAGACATGACGAGCAACAGTACCTACTTAGTGGCACTTGTTGGGCAAAATTACATACTGTAAACCGTTTGCTAAACGCCCATGGTGAAATTTAGGATGTGTCGGTAGATTGGACGCTAAAAACTCAGTGTCCTGTCTAATCCATCTACTAAATCCTGTGCTTGATCTCCAGCCTTAAGAACCCCTTCCTCTGGCACCCACGTCACATTTGCGGCATGAGGCTCGTTGGGGCCTGTGGTGGCTTGTAACAACTGTCATACAAAAGACATTAGAAATCCACCGAATAAATAAGTGCATACAAAACCTTCGAATGCAGCTCTCTAAAGCATCTCGTGTTACACGCGTATCTATTCCCAGTGCACAATCTGAGAAGTATGCAAAGTCCAATTTTTCGGACATGAACACGCATGATCAGGCAATCAATACACTTACAAAAAGTGGTCTTTCTGAAAGAAGCTTTCACAGTCCATTGCAGCTGTGTAAGCTGCGAGGAATTGGAGCTACTCAATTCACGCATGACTTTCGCCTTATATTGCTACATGTTCCACATACAACGTGTTTAGAGGTTGGTGCGTTGGTACAGCGTTGCTGCTTGAATATCCTTCTTTGCAATCTCTTCTGTTCGGCCTTGCTATCTTCACCTTGCAACCACCAGAGATAGGACCGTGCCAGGACAACTTCTATAACGGAATTGCCAAAAAAAATGAGATTTTGCAGGATGTACAAGCTCCAACTTTTGAGATAGTCGATTCGGAGGACGACTCTAAAGACAACAGCTCACACAAACCCAATTCAGACGAATTAGGCAGCACCCATTCAGTGAGGCAGTGACACCAGCTTCGCTAGATGCCCAACCAACTAATCCTGAGAATGAGATCGCCTTAAAACCAAACCACTTTCTCCTTCAATTTTGGGATAATTCCAAACCACACATGCAAAATTCATTTCGAAGATTAAGGGCAACCAACTAAACAATCTCACTACAATCAATCCTATTCTACTTGATCCAATACACGATAACGTCACCAACCTGAGCTTAGATAAACCAATCTGACACCCCAACCGACCCCCGGGCGTTGAATCCACTCCAACAACCCCCGCTCTAGCAACAGGCCTGCTACTAATTGTCATGATACCAGGACCGAAACTCGAGAGGATGCCACATTTTTGGGCGACGCCAGCCAGCCATCCTGCTGCGCCCGCACAACCCCAACAGCAGGAACCGCCAGCATCGCGGCCATGTCTCTCCTCCAACCCCTAAACCCACGATCTCAAATCTCCCTCCACACGATCCAAAACTGAAAAAACATCGAAGCTATGTTGTAGTGCACAGGATTGAAGCTCGGTAACCAGAGTACAGTCAGTGGTCACAGGACCATGAGAGGCGACCAAACAGTGAAAAAAACGACTCCTCCGAGAAGCAGGGAATTGTGGACTCTAGACAGAAGTGTGTTCCGAAAGATGGGAGAAAGGAAAGGGGATTGGATCCCATGACAGAGGATGAGATGGCCATGGCCGTCGTTCAACATTTAACGATTTCTTGTTTGTCTTTTTCCTCAGGTTCAAGAGTCTGAGCCCTCATGTGTCCAGCGGCTCCGAGAAAAATATGAGAATTTTTTTCTCAGTGGGCCCAGGTGTGTCACTTTATACTCGCTGCAAGTGATTCTAAGGAGGACCCGCCTGAGGACACACCCCTACATTGCTCGGGACACACCCCTTTGACGAAAAACTGTCCAGCCCTTCCCCCATTTCGCGATAACTCAACCTGCGACGCCCGCGGCTTTCGCCGTGAAAAATAAACAAGAATCGTTTTAAAAAATTAATTTAGAAAAAATAGCAATGTGAAACGGGAAATTTTATATTCTTTATTTTTTTAAATAAAAATGTAAATAATTTTAGAGGGGCTACTTGAGCAAACAATGACTTAGTCCAATGAGCTTTTATGAACATTCCAAGAGATTTCAATGGCTTTTTACAACACAATCACAAGGCATTGTTATTTCTGCGTCTTAACAAATGTCAATTGTCTGATATGTAACTTTGTTGCATGTTATCAAATTTTTTGTTATGAATTCCATCTGTTCTTGTATTGAAATGACAAAGTACATTTACAAAAGCAAACATCAAAATGATTAACACCAGATTTTGTATCAAACATGAGTTGAACACTATTCTACTCATACTTGAATTACTTGATTTTTCTCTGATACTTTAGATTCATTACTAATGTATTGAAAATGAAAGAACAAAAAAATGTGTAGTGGAGGATAAATTGAGTTGACATGAAGATGCTGTTAAATACATGGTCATGTGAAGTGGAAAATTTGCTACTATTTACTAATTGTCACACGATTTTTGTTTCGCGGCGAGTTGTCATAGGACGAGTTATCGCGAAATGGGTGTGACCCGTGTCAACTGCACTTCTCAGAATTGAGTCCATGCGGGATTTCAAAGCGGAATCAAAAGATGGTGATTCGTCTCACGACATGGTTTTTGTGAATATTGTGGTAAATATTTAATATTTGCTACGATATTTAAAATCTCCACAGATCAGAGTTGTTCAGGCTAAAAGTTCAATTCGCTTTTCAGAATTGAAAACCCGTTTCTAACTGGGACGTGAATAGGTAGTTTAGGATTGAAGATTAGTTCATAATAACAAGTTCTTAGGTATGGTTGCCAGAAAGATGTTGGTTAGCCAATTCATTATTTCAGTTGGGGTTTCTTAAGTTACTATTGAATAGAACTGCATCAAGTACATTCGACAAAGGAAGGAGTTGCATTAAAACTGCGACTTTTTAATATAACACTCCGAACCGATACATAACGAATACTCTATCTCTTCTTAGACACACCGACGGTCCTTCCACGACGTCCAGTTGTCTTCGTGTGTTGACCACGTACTCGCAAGCCCCAGTAGTGACGAAGACCACGGTGGTTCCTGCATCCCCCAAACCAAGCCGTCATGACACAAGGCAATCAGCACTGCCTAAAGCCAGGCGCAATGCAATAGAGTGCTGCATAGTTCAAATCACAAGTGATCTATATTTGTAAATATAAATTTGAATAAGCATTAATCATAAACTGGAAGAAGAAAATTTCACTAACCTGATCTTCTTCAGACGCTCAAGGTCATCCCTGAGCTTCATGTCCAAGGCATTAGATACAACCTGGGAGTAGCGACCGTCTTTGTGGTCTTTTTTCCTGTTCAAGAACCAATCTGGAATCTTGAACTGGCGAGGGTTAGCAACTATCACCATTAAGTTCTCCAGCTCTGCTGCGGAAAGCTCGCCGGCCCTGCACGTGATTTAGAGAAACACGAGATGAGACATTCGGAGTTCTCACGAACTCGTAGAGACACAAAAGACACGAAACCCTAAATCCCATAAACAATAAGCAAGACCAGTCAAAGCGTTACTATGGATACCATGTAATCTAAGCGTTAGGATCTGGAAAGTACCCACACACATCAAAATTTTCAAGAGGAGAAACAAAGAGCTCAAGACGAAGAGATTCGCGCACCTCTTGCTCATGTCGACGTCAGCCTTCTTGCACACCAAGTTAGCAAAACGACGCCCGACTCCCTTGATGGAGGTTAGGGCAAACATAATCTTCTGACGCCCATCGACGTTGGTATTCAGAACACGAAGAATGTGCTGGAACTCCTCGCCCGCAATGAGCGACTGCCAACATCGGAAACACACACAACCAACTTTCAGTCACAAAGACGTAAACCCTAAACATAAAATTTCACGAACACGAAGATAGCACTGAATAAGAGCCAAGAAGAGCAGCACAATGACAAGGACGAGGCAGATCAGACACACCATGGTGACTGAGCAGCAAGGAAACGCAGCACAGAGGGGCGATGGTGAAAGCGCAAAGCAGAGAAAGAGTACTACCAACGAAGAGGGAGGAATATCTAGGGTTTGCAAGGGCTTCGCCAACTGAGCCTTTGTGAATGAAATGTCATACATCCAACGCATCCGGATGTAACTTTCATCCATATGTATGTAAATGTATATATACGTATATTTCTGGAGAGGGAGTTGCTGACTTGTTTATTTGGCTAAAACTCTTTCAATGAGCCTTCAACGTTCTACATAAAACTTCATTGCAATCTTAAAACGAGATCAAGGTTGATAGGCACCCTACGGTTTTATATTCTTGCTTTTTAAATGGTGTTTTGGCAAATTTTGCTGCTTACAACACCAAAAACGTCTATGGTTTTGAATGCTCCAAGATTCTATGAAAAAGATACATGTTCTATTTGTAACTTACGAAATACATATATGCATAGTAAAAACAAAATATGGGGTTTTGTGGAAGTATGATGAGACATGGAAACATTTTATAATCTTTGAGTGCATCACAAGTGTTTGTTCCAAAAAGTTTTCTAAAGCATCTACGCTATGAAAGTTCATACTTAATTTTGTAATTTTTTAAAATAATAATGAAAGGTTGTCCCATTTTGATTTACCTGTGTTTTCTGAATGGATTAAATGTTGTTGTTGAAAGTGGTTGGTAACGACAAAACTTTCTATAAGCCTACGTAGGCTTGTAAACGAAAGATAATATATTTCAGCAAATTATTAAGGTCAATGCAGATTAATAGGCACAGTTCAGATCTTCATACTACACCTTCATGGTACACATATTGGTGAAAACAGCTAATTTATGGCTCGAAAAGAATGGAGAATGCTTATAAAAGATTTGTTTGGTATTGATTATGCTTTGTTTATTTTGAACAATGATAATATGCCAAACAACTTAATACATGTAACTTCGATATTTTATATTATATATATATATATATTTTATCAATGGAACTTTAATCAATTTAAACAGCTTCAACATACTCTGTGCCATTTTCAAGAAAGTTGCATGTGCGTCATCTTTATTTGTGTGAGTGTGTATTTATGCAGATGCATATGTAAATAAATACATATATGCCATTTTTTATTTCTTTATTTTTTAATATTTTATTATAAGTACTTTGACTAAACATCATAACTTTGTTAGCGACATTTCTTGTAAAGGTACAGCATTTGTTGTGAAGACAGAAAATAGAATAAGATAAATAAGTAAACAGTATAGTTTGTCAGGTATATCAATACATTTATAGTTGGTAACATTGTATATCTAAAACAACAAGAATCAATATAAAATTGCAACATTGTTATACAGAAGACAACACAATTGTTTTTGAATGCAAGCATGAATTTTTGAAACATTCAAATTTTACATTTTCACATTGAACACGGTTAGTGTTTCATCTTAACCTCTATTTTTATTTATTTATTTTGTTTCATACTCAATTTTCTGTAAAGAAGCACATGGTTGATTTTTTTTGTACTTAAGTGACATCAATATATAATTGACATAGCTTACAAGACGAAAATATTCCATAATTCTCTTAATATTCTAACCTAGCAATACAAAAATCATTTCCCATCACATTACATTCTATATATGTGTTGTACAAGTTTGCAAAAGAACAAAAATTACTTGTAAATACTTATATTCCCAAAGGAGTGCTTTTAAATTCAACATGCATTATACACTAACCCATCAAAATTTTCATATACTTCCAACAATCAAGACTACACTCCTTCAAAAACACACACACTCAATGAATGAGTAAATAGGTTTCTTCTTCACTGATTGAATAATCTAATTCAAAATAACTATCGACATGGACTCAGGTTGCCAGAAATAAGGGATGAATGTCATCCAAATGTACCATAGTGAATGAATGAATGTTCGTCCATAGGGCAGTGCAAGTGGGTCACTAAACTTCCGCTCGGAGAAGTGGGGCCTATAATCGCAGCTCCCTGCTCTAGCACTGGCTTTGCTTGGCTTCGCTTCACTTTCGCTTCCGCCTTGCTTTGCTCAGCCAAACCCTCGCCGTCTGACCTGCTCTTCCTCTCTCCATCGCTCTATAAATTCGAGCCACGCTGCCTTGCTGAAATCGATGCGGATGGTCCCTGTAGGAGTTCCTCTGAGTATCGGCGGAGAGTTTCTGGTGCTCCTGCGTGGTGTATTATAAGGTTTGCTCGGGGGCTGGGAACTCAAGAGTTAGTCTTTTAGGGGCAGTTTCGGTGTGCCACCATGGCGGAGCATCTGGCGTCCATCTTTGGGACTGAGAAAGATCGTGTCAATTGTCCCTTTTACTTTAAGATTGGTGTGTGTCGCCATGGTGACCGCTGTTCGCGTCTTCACAACAGGCCTACAGCCAGCCAGACTTTGCTGCTTGCGAATATGTATCAGTCCCCCGACGCTGGCTTTCACGGCGGTGTAGACCAGCACGGGAACATTCAGCAGTCGGATCCTCGGAAACTTCAGGAGCACTTCGAGGTTTGTTGATCTTCACTGGATTTGTTAATGCCGTGTTTCTTTCCCCCCCCCGTACGTCCTTTTTTCCTTTTCTCGTCCCTTGCGGTGAGTGTTGCACTGATCTGCCTTGCGTGTTTTGGTGGACGAGTATTTCGTATTCGAAACCTGTTAGGGTTTTTGTTTTTGATGCAATACGCTGACTATGACTTTTGTTTAGTTGCAATTGTATCCGTGCGTCTGCGGTATGCCGACTTCGAATTTGCTATTTTGTTTGTTGATTATGACAGGATTTCTACGAAGACATATTCGAAGAACTTAGCAAGTATGGAGAAATTGAGAATCTCAATGTTTGTGACAATCTTGCGGATCACATGGTATGCTCTACGCTCCGAGAGATAGATTTTTCTTTGTCATTTCAAAGGTGTTATCTTGCTTGTGTGTAGCGCAGTTTTTCCCTTTAATGTTTCGAACGTTGTGTTCCTACAGTCCCTTGTCGGGTATGCTTCTCACTTTTCTGCTTTGTCTTTTCACAGATTGGGAATGTGTACGTGAAGTTTCGAGAAGAAGAACATGCTGCCGCTGCTTTGAATGCCCTGAGTGGGCGTTTTTATGCTGGTAGACCCATCATTCTGGATTTCTCTCCCGTCACCGATTTCCGTGAAGCAACATGCCGTCAGTATGAAGAGAACACATGCAACAGGGGAGGTTATTGTAACTTTATGCATTTGAAGAAAATATCGAGGGAATTGCGAAGGAAGCTATTCGGAAACTACCGAAGGCGCAGCAGGAGTCGCAGTCATTCGCCGTACGGTCGTGGAGAAGCTCGTGGTCCTCCAAGTCCCCGACGTTATGGAGACAGAGATTTCTATGATTCTCGACGAGGTGGCGGGCGAGGTGGTGGTGGCAGAGGTCGATCGTATGGTCGAAGATATGAAGAATGGGATGATCGGCGATACGATGACCGCAGAGGAGGAGGTCGTTCAGATGGAGGCAGAAGGCGAGACAGAAGCAGAAGTAGAACACCTCCTAGGAGGGGACGAAGTCCTGGTGCCCGGGAAGGTTCTGCAGAGAGAAGGGCTAAGATCGAGCAATGGAATCGTGAACGCGAGGTGCGCCAAGCAGCTGAAACTGCTCCAGCTGGATCTCCACATCGAAGGGACTCTGCAGCATATGATAACGAATAGAAGCACGCTATTTCTGGTGTGTGTCTTGTCACACCGTTCCTATCCATTTTGAGCTTAGGTCAAGTTTGGGCTAGTATTTAGTTAAAGTTAAGCCCAGGGGCGTGCTGGTCTCTGCTGTCTGTCGGTTTACTGACAAGAACCTGAGCTTGTGCGCAGGTCTCAGGTATAGGTGCAATGTTCAACACTGCTGCAGTGCAGCAACAGTCTAGCTGCTATTGATATGAACACTTTGATTTGTGAGCTGTCGGGAGCATCATGCTACTACTTTTCTGGTGAACAGTGTGCAGAGTAATTTAGGAATGCAGGTGCATGTGATGAAATATATGGTAAGCCAGCTCACAGTTGTGTCGAGGTGTACCTGCAGGTTGCAGGGATCCCAGTTTTGCTGGTTAGATGCATAGGTTGAAAGTTAACATGCCCTTTGGACTGAACAGGTGAAGCTGATCTACAGCCAGCAGGTCCAAGCAAACAGAGGCGTTCTTCTCATTGAGCATCAGACAAACAGGAAATGATGCAGAGTCAGGAAGTCGCAGAATATTGAATAGCTTTGATGGCAGCGGTTGTTGCTGTGTGCAGGTGCAGGCATCGGCCCTGTGTTAGTTTCTATTAGGGGTTAAAATCTTCATCCTGGGACGTTTGTGTGTTTCTGGGACTGGCCTTGCAGGATATCTTGACGTGCCGGAATTAGTGTTCCGTCCTTATTAAGCACCTTTTGATAATTCTAGAACGTGTGATCTATTTAGTGAAGAACATCATTGTATCTCTTCTGAATGTGGTATTGTGGCCGTTCGGCAATTAAAACTAGATTAAGAATAAGCTGGTCTGTCTCCTTTTTGTTATTATTAGCTCCTGTCTACTGTCTTCAATATGAATGCAGGATTGTTATTTGTTTTCCATCTACTCGAACCATATATCTGCATGTTTTTGGAAAATATCGCACAAGGTTTTTAGGCTACCGACTTGATGAACCGACTTGAAAGTATTTTGGTGTTCCTTGAATCGACCACTTGAGAAATCCTTCATCAAATCCCATGTGTACACAAGCCGTGCGTTGTAGTCTTTTTTCAAAGACTTCATGATAGTATATATTTTCTTAGTGTGAATGGGTCTGTTAAATTATTGCAATTTGGGCAGTACTAGTTTGAACCACCAATAGATTAATAAACATGGTGATGTGATTGTCGGATGAGTTATGAATTAGTTATATACGATGAAAACATAATTTAAAATGTGCTATTCTAGTGACCACCACCCACACAAATTTGACCGTAAAAAAATAGGCATATCTTGTTTATTTAAACAATATTGCGGTTCCAAAGTTTCTGTTCTGCAACCTGTCTATCTATAATTATAATGTAGAGGTTCTACAACTATTGCAGATCTATCGATAGAAAAGTACGATAATTTATCACAGTGCTCCATCTAAATATACAAGTATTCACAAATTAAAAACCGAGTTGATTAATCTAGAAAGTGAGGTAATGGCAAGACCAGAATTCGTACTTTGGCAAGTTGAGATATGCAATGGAGGCTTCTGAAAATCAAAATAGTGCAAATCATCATGCGTTGTCATTTTAAAAATAAAATTGCATTAAAAACTTCTAATAAAACTGCAACAATACTTCAGCAGTATTAAAGAAATGTATTTGCTCACATATCTAAACTATAAAGAAAATCATCATAAGTAATTAGTTAGTGTATATATGTGAGATGTAAGAATATGACATTGTTAACACTTATAGCTTCTTAAAAGCTAAAACAACTTTTGGTTGTTTTGGGCATTCTACATGAAGTACCAATCTTTGGTATTTTCATTAAAATGGTTTTTTTGAAGGTAGAGAATCGTATGAAGTTTATGCCCCACTAATTGTTTTTTTCAAAAACTATTTTTCAAATTAGTTCGAGTGTTTTTTAGATTTGGTTTCCAATTGGGATAGTTTGGGTAGGGGCTTGCACCAGTCACATGATGGCTGTAAATGTGGGCAGTTTTGTGGTTATATGACAACAATATTGTAGGGCAACAAGTCCAACATTGGTCCAATATAGAGCTGCCTAGTGCATTTTAGGGCTAATGGTCATGTCTAATGGTCATGTCTAACCTTTTAAAATCCTTATATATATATATATATATATATATAATATTCTCCTTCTAAATCATGTAAAAGTGCTTCTTTTCACTATACGTTTTTTGAGGAAATATTTTAAAAAATAATAATATGATTTTTTTATAATAATTTCCATGTTATTGGTTTTTCAACTATCTACTTCTTGAAAACAATTTAGTTGAAGGTGCTACACATGTCCCCTTGTTCTAGGATTTTGTACTCGTGCTCAACTTCAGGACATCTTTGAAATCAATTCCCTCAAAAAGTTTGGAGTCACAAGTAGGAATTTTGTCTAGCACAAGTCTCACTATGCCTTTTAGGCAACAAAAAAACCTTTTCTCTCACCTTTGAATATTATGATCTCCCACATGTAATGACCTCAACACCTGAGATTTGGTAGACTGATTCTAACATAAGTTAATAACAAGACCGTATGGTTGAAAGCATTGAAAATGCTAAAAAAGAAGATCCAGGAAGTTATTTTCTTGAAAGGGTGTTTTTTTGGAAGTTTTGGAGTTTGTAAGGACATTATTCCATTTTTCCTACATTAAGTGATATAGGACACATTCTACCAATAATGGACATGTAAGACTTTAGTAGATATTATTTTTAAATCAAAATAAAACAAAATAAAGTTTTTTTTTTTTTTTTTTTTTTTTTTTTTTTTGGTATGCAATACCTCCTCCAATAAGAAATTTTTTAGACCACATTTAATCTTGTCGTTTCATAACTTTTGTCTTACAATAAGACATGGTTTTTTATTCTTTTATAGAAAATATTCTACATGAAGTAAATTATCTAATATTAGAAGGGCCTACACATGTTGATATTAAAAGTGAAAAAATATTTTTTTTGTATATTTTTGTTGGCCAATATAGAAAAAAGATAAAATATATTCCTATAAGTCATGATGCTTCTATAGATGGGAATGTTATTAATCAAAAACAATACCATCAAATATCTAACAAGCAAAGTATAATCCAATTTAATTTATAAACTTGTAATATACTTTAAAAGAAAAACCAGAAAATCAACCTTCTTGCGTTCAAATTCTATTCCTATACAAAAATTTTCTTTCAATAAAATCATATAGAAAACTCCATTCATGCATATCTAAACCTTTATTGATTTAGTTCTATACAAATTCTTTTCTTGCATAAAAAATTCTTGCATAAAAGATCTCTTGTGATTCAAAGACATTCTATATATAAATATTCTCTATTCCAAGTTAAAATTAACTCCAAGTGACTAAAATAAAAACTTATTGATTACAAGAAGTCTATCTTATTTATGTCTTTTATTTATTTATACATTAATTTTAGATCAAAAGTTGCCTTATTCATGTATATATATATATATATATATATATATATATATTATTCCAACATAATTTTTGCTATAGCCTTCCATCCACAACATGCACCCTTTGTTTAATACCTTTCAAACTAATTAATTTTTATTTTATTATTTATTTTATTTTTTTTAATAAAATTTAAATAATTCTATTGAATAGTCTTTTTGATTAATATATTAGAACAAATAGCCATGCAAATACAAATTAATTTTGTGTTATTACTCATAAATTTTTTACATTATTCAAAAAAATTAAATTCTATATAATTTCACTTGCTCAATGAAGTTATTATTTCTTAAAGAATAGTTTTCTAAAACTTTCTTTTGATTAGATTTTTTTGCATCAAATTGTAAATCAAAATGGTGGATCCACAACATGATTTGTATCTAATTCTATGGACATAGCTGTTGTGTGAGCCCTAATTCTTGTTGTTGCAAATAGAATCTCCTTCATGTTGCCTTCATTAAGATGAACACCTTTGTTACAACCTAACCATTGGTCTTTATAACACAAGCTTTTAAACTTATTGACACTATTGCCATTGTTGTTGTTTTATATACTACAAATTTTTTATTCAAAAAATAAAAAAAGAAATTTTATTTAGAAATATGTACTAAAAATAATTTATTATTATACCAATTTTTCATAAAAATCTTAAAAATAATTATGTAACTTTATTTTAACTAGTAGGCAAAATTTGGTCTGACATGCAATTGGAAGGATAATCTTTTGGTGAAATAATACAATCAACATTAAATGAAATTAAAAACTTAAAAAATCTCATTGAAGAATACAAAAATTGATATGGATCTTATATTTAAAATTTAAAAATATACATCATTACTTAGACTTGTATCAAATTGTTTAAATATTAGAATTGTAATTAAAGTGTATATTACTTAGATAAATAGAAATAAATAGAAGTAAGTATAAGCATGTTAAATATGTAATATTTTTCTTAAGAAGCTTTAAAGAAGTTTTCTAGCATAGATTAGATTTTTAGGCTATTGTAGATATGTCATGTGGCTATTCAAACTTATTCATTATAACTAGCCATAACCACTCGAGTTCTTTTTTTATCTTATATTTAGATTATTGTTGATGCTATTACTATTTTTTTTTATCGTCATTACAACTTGCCACTTAAATTAAATATTTTTTAGGCTTTTTAATTTTGATCAAAATCTTTATTAGTTTTTCCAACAGTATTTTATTTATTAATTTTTTTCTAAAGTTTAGAAGTTAAATTAAATTTAAGAAAAATAATTAAAATCTAAATAAAACAAGTTATGGTGGTGGAAGCAAAAACTATGGTGGAATTAGCAACATCCTATATTTATCTCTTATTTATTTACTTTTTCTTCTTCAATGACATAAGAATGTATTATCTTTTTAGAACTCTATTATAACTCATGTCTTTAACAAGAATTAAAGAAAGTAGTTTCTTTTAAAAATATTAAAAATATTAAAGAATAAGATATATATTAATAATTTTAATTATATAAAATACTAGATTGAAAATTTTATTATTAAATATATTTAAGAAAAAAAATCTTAATAATATAAAAAGAAATAATAGAAGAAAGATCAAGTCTTTTTAATAGAAAATTATATATAAGAATATTTGGAGGATCTTTTTAATTCAAAAAAAATATAAAACATTCTAACTTTTAAATTCTTTGATTAATTGAAATTGACATATCTCACTTAGTTGGTTTTATATTTATAACTATTAGTTTAAAATCTCTAAGAAATAAAGATGAAATAGAATACATTATGTTTAAATGACAAGAATAATATTATTCTTGGAATTTCAATTGGATCCATTTCAAAAGGAAAATTTTTAAAATGAAACTAGTGTTATAAGTTTTAATAAATATTATTTAAAAACAATCCAATTTTTTATACTTCTCACAATAATTAGAATTAAGATATAAATTGACATATTTAGTCTTGTATTAAAATAATAAATTAGTCTATTTCATGATCCCTTCTATCTTAATATCTAATGCCATGTACAAAAGCCAAAACTTCTAAATGAGTGATTTTCTTCACCAAACATAAGACTTAAGTAAGAATTTTGAACCACTACCAAATAGACTTCTAAGTATAAAAACTCCTTAAACCACTCATTTTTACTTTGGATAACTAACCACCAACTTAACAAATTGAATTCCACTACAAAACTTCAATGGGGTTGACCACCAAAAACCTACAATTTCGAATTGGCAAAGCATGAAGTTTTTCAAGGTCTGCAAAGAGTTGACACTTACTGTAACTTATTTTGGCATGATCTAGGAAGGTGTTTGAAAGCATCCAGGGTAACACAAGGCATGCCAGCAACATGCAGTCCTTCCGTAGATTGCTGGACTACAAGTGAGCTGTTGGGGTCAAGCAGCCATGTGCTCAAACCTGCACTCTTTTGTGATCCAAGC